TACAACAAATTAGCGACCACATCACATCTAGGTTTGTTGAGTACGCCACACTTGAATAGATTTCATGATATTTAGAAATCTTCAACTTTCATTAAACCCCATTTAAGTTCCGGCTTCGAGTTTGAACCCCAGAACTTACACTTTAAATATATAAAAATATACAAAATTACATAGTTGGTCCCTGTGGTTTTATCAAACGTCACAAACTAAACCCTTGCTGTTTTTTATACAAACATAGTCCCTACGGTTTCCAAAACTTGCATAATTTGTTCATTCCAATTTCAAGTATAGCACAGTTGATGTACATTTTATATGATTGTAAAGTGATTCTAAGTAAAGATTTTTGTGAATCTAAAATGTTACATCTAATAAACTAATATACTCATCAACTTTTTTACTTTTTATATATAGTCACCAAATTAAAGTTTAGCAACCAATATAAACATAAAAACATGCAAAACAAATGTTTCTAAAACACATTATTTTACGCATAAATGATTCAAAAAAAAAAAAATGTAACATGTTTTCTACGTTGGCAACATTATTGTTTACATAAGTATTCGAAGAACAGCCAAACCAACAGCAGAAATTGAGACAAGAGTACCTATACAGTACTTTATCACATCGTATTTTGCAGCTTCTAGATGCGCTCTTAATGAATGGATTTCCTGATCCAAATAACAAATTTTAAAAACATAACTTTTTTTTATCATTGTGGGAAAAATTATTATTATTATTATTATTATTATTTTGATAAATGAAAGTGATGCATGTATACTCACATTATCAAGTTTGTTTGTGAGGTTGGATGTTTCTTGGTTTTGATTCGATAGTTCATCTCTAATTCTCCTGTATTATAATATCACATTAAGGTTAATAAGTTTCCTTGATATTATAAAAAATTAAAATTAAAAATTAAAAACAACAGATTTGTCATTATTACCCCCTTTCAAGATTCAAATCCAAACGCTGGCCTGCAGTTACTTTGTCAATTTCATATCTATATCACAAAATGAATTTTGCTATTATCAGTAACATGTGTTGTTTTTGTTTGTAAAAAAAATAAAATGTGCTGTTATTTCCTACAATTTTTTCATTTAGTTTTATAAATTAATGGATGGTTGTTATATTTACTTTAACTCACTGCGCATCTTCTCTATATCACTCTGAAGTTTTTCTGTTTCACGTTGCAATAATGAAAAATGGTTTTCCTGTAACAGTGACAAGAATAATTGAGGTAATTAATGATTCGTAAAACATGTTGATATGAAGAATTACATTATAAAAACAACAAATCATGAAAAGGATGTGATATTGATCTAGGAAAGTGATTACCTGAGAGTTTTGGACTCGAGACTTGAATTTCCCCAAATTACCATCTTGAATCATCTCAATCTACAGCAAAATGCAGATACAACATGAAGGCGAAAGCCATTTAGAGTTTAACTAAAAAAAATTGAAAGATATGATTAATTTCATTGAGATTCGAAACAAACCCTTTCCATTTCACCCTTGGAGACGAAGGATTGAGCAACATTTTCCAAACTGTCATTCAAAACCTCGATAATGGCAGAGGTAATTGCTTCAGCTTGCTTTGAAGGCACACCTTCACCCTCTAATCTCCTAACCTAATAATTCATCTCAAAAACAATCACACATTCACGTCTACCGAAATTTCAAATTAGAACGGATAAAGAAGCAAGCTTTTTCATCTAATTAATAGCGGTTTGAATTAATTCAGGATGTCGAGACGAGAAAGTGACTTACTAGGGCTAGGGTATCGACGAGAAACAGGCGCTTTCCATTAGATTGAGGTTGTTGAGAAACTTGTCTGCAATCAAATCTGCTAAAAGTCGGATTGAAATGAGATGAAGATGAAAGTGTATTTGTGGAGATGAAACCGCCTTGCAACAGCGATGTGTTGGTTGCGTGAACCGATCTCGATTTGATTCCGGCACGAAGGAAAGCCGCATAAGCGGCCATTAGAATCGAATTTGGGAACTAAATTTGTAACTTTCGATAAATTGTTGAAGATCGTGGTCGTGGATGAACTAGAACTGGAAATCAATCTGAAAAAAGTGATTGAAAAGTTGAAATGAAAAAAGAACTAGAAATCAATCCATTTCCGTACACGTTTCTGGCGCTGAGAACTAAGAAATCGGCGTTGGAGGGGGCGAGGCGACGGAAAAAAAGTAACCGCCCACCGTGGGGCTCGAACCCACGACCACAAGGTTAAGAGCCTTGCGCTCTACCAACTGAGCTAGACGGGCTTGTTGAAATCTTCTTTGGTGTTGTATTAATATACAAGATTCTTATGTATATGGACGAGTGTATTATTTAATAATCATATTGCAAAATATAGTTTAAAATTGCTTATTGTTTAGAAAATATATATTAATTATTTAAGTATCAGAGTATTAATGAAAATGCCACTCAAACATTGATTAAGGGTTAAAGTCTCCTAAAATATGATTTGTAGTTTATGAGTAAAATAGCAAGGATAAATATTTTTTGATCTAGAAAAACCTATTTTTAATTTTAATATGTTTAACATAACGACTTGGATAAAAATTGAACGGGCCAATAAAGCACTCCAATTGACAACCCTACGGAAACTTTTTGGATATACGTCAATTTTGACTGTTTCAACACCTATAATGAATTGATGACAACTTATATGATCAGTTTGGAAGATACATTTGAGCACACCGACTATTGTTTTTTGGCTTTTTAATGAACATGTTTCGTAAGGAAAATCTTGCAGGGTTAGTTATGATTTTTCTATAAAATCATATACATATTTGCATGTGGGGTAGCTTTTGCGATTTGGAGAATAGTGCAAAAGTGGTGTGATATTCAATTTTTCACTTTGTTTAACATTCATGAATGATTTTCTTAGATAGATGGTGTTCGGATGACATGTGAGAACATGAAACGACTTGAGGTGGTGATGATTACTACGTGGTGGATGTTCTATGCTTATTATATGGTGGATGTTCTAGAGGTTTATGAATAATGTTGTGTTCGATTCTTGAACAATGTAGAAGGGCAATTTTTTATAACATTTTTTAATTTTGTTTTCTTGGGTTAAGCATAGATTAAAAAAATGTAATTTGGACTAATTGGTTGAAATCACCTTTGTAATTTTCTTTAAACTCTCGGTTAGAAGTGTAATATTTAGAATTTTATTGTTGTTAAAAAGAATAGCCTGATTTTGTCTGGTTAGAATTGTAAAGTTCGTTATTTAAGTGTAATAATGAACATAGATATAGATATGCCTCATTCCTTTTGGACAAAATTCAGAATTTACAAAGGATTTTTCAAAGAACTTTATGAGGTACTAAACACATATGTTGTGAGCTAGATAGGTCATTGACTATCCCTTGAATTAGATTCAGTTAAGTTCAACTTCTACTTCTTTGTTTATCACTGTTATGACCTCACCAAAACCAAAGGATAATTCATTGTTTAAGCGTATGTACAGTATTTATGTGGTGTTATTGCATCGCTTAAATTTCAACTTTATTATTTGTATCTGTTTTTTTCTCTTTTTTTTCACTTTATTGTTTGTATCTGTTTTTTTTTCACACACAATAGTTTGTTTTTCATTACGGGTTAACATGTTATACATACCTTTTTTTTTCTTTAGTCCATATTCACCAATGTAAGCAATTTTTATTCTTTTTTCTCTCATCCTTCCATTTATCTATACCTTTTTTGGATTGACAATTTAGAAACATTTTTTTACTAAAAAATATTCCAGTTGTTACGACAATATATGACTAATATATCATATTTTAACGGCTTTTGACAATACGAAACAATAAAAATAGTTACTACTTCCATAGTTATTTGTTTATATGAATGTTTTTTGTACTAACCTTTAAAAACCCAACAAGACATGCACTAAGGCTATCCGGAGTGGAAGCCTTTTCACGCGTGAAAAGCTGATGTGGAGGGGCCAAGACGCGTGAACACCATTTCCTAGCCCCGGTGGTTTGGTTGTGGCGTCTTGGTGAAGACGCATGAAGACGGATGATCTCATTGGCTAGCTTTTCTTCCCCTCACATTTTTTTTCTTTTTCTCTCTCCTTCTTTTTGTCTCTTCACACCTTAACCACTAGTGAATACCATTTTCAAGCCTAGTGAGTTGGTTGTGGAAAGGGTAAATAACGACATGGCATCTTCTCCACTCTAGAATCGCTCGTGACCACTCCATACAGCCTAAGCATGACAAATTTTATCAAAATATTAACTGGATATTGTACTAAACTATATAATTATGTCTTTTTTTATTAAACAGGAAAGAAAAAGAAGAAACAAATTTCAATTTTTTTTTTTCCGAATTTTTTTGGTCGATGCAAATGAGAATAAAAGTTTGTTATTCTCATAATCTCAATCTATAAATATCCAAATTTTGATGCCTAGTACCCAATAGATTATTCGAATCTCAAGTGTTTTGTACTTTGTAGTGGATCATTACCCTCTCTAAAGTCTAAACACGTTCAATTTCCTAGTGGTTTGTACTTTGTAATTTGCACTAAAATTCCTTTTGTATTCATTGTTTATCCATAATCTCAAGTGAATTGCCTACATCATTACCTTTTTTTACCACATTCTTACGGAACTTAGTATTGTTGTTTGAAATCAAAACAACATGATTAGACAATTCCAATACAAATATTAAAAACATTTCAAAAAAAATCCAAATTACCATAGGTTAAGCTATCATGTTAACAGTGAAGTGAACTGAAAAAAAAAATCTATTATTATTTGACTCAATCGGAAATACGAGTAACATACTAAGGAGTATATTCTAAGAGGAAAATTTGTATTAGAATGACGACTGATGTATTCTCAGTCAATTAAATCATATGACCTACTACAACTACATATCGTAGTAGACACATCCTTTATACATTTATATTTAATATTTAATATATATGGGTTATACATAATTAATGATCAACAATATTAAATAAAATGCCTCCAAAAACCACCTCACGGGTGCCAATAGTTGCACGAAGCTCCCTTATTACACCGCCCGCTTTCATAAAACTTACAAACCCGCTTCCCTTTTGGCGGCGGTCTCTGATAACCACCACCACCACCACTGCCGCCACCAAACGACCCCTGCCACCCCCAAGCCGGCTTCCCATTCCTATTATACCCCATATCCTCAACCTTATAACTTCTTTCCCTCGGACTATACGTTCGTTGGTGTGGGTCCCACCCCACGTTCAAATACGGGTTGACCCGGGTCGCCATTTCTTGACCCGGTCGTGGTTGTGGCGGTGGTGGCGATGGTTGTGGTGGCGGCGGTGGCGGTGGTGATGGTGATGGTTTCCGGCTCTCGTTAGCTTCAACTTTCGTGGAATTATTTAAGTCTATTGTGTTTTTGGATACGGTTTGTTCCGGTATGTCGGGCCACTTGAAAGGCAGAGGTTGCAAACTGGCGGTGGCGGTGGTGGTGGTGGTGGTGGTGGACTGGAAAGGTAGATGTGTATCTGTTCTAGGGGTGGGACTGAAATCTTCGAAGGATCCATTGAACAAATCCTCAACAAAATTGTTCCTTCTTGATGTAGGTGAAGGGAAACCATTTTGTGATTCCATTGCATCAACTTCCGCTAACAAATCGGAAACTGATTCCTCCGCCAATGTACTAAACTCAATCGTCTCACGGACACCTTGCCATGGCGGCAATGACAAAGGCAAACCACCATGATCACCGCCAGCGCCCACTTCCACCACCGATCCACCACCGGAAGTAGGCGAATACCCACTCCATTCGCTGCCTGTTTTCGGAACCTCCGCTCCACCACCATTACTCCAATTAGAAGGATTCCGGTTCCCAGCATCTTGAACTGGGATTCCGATTCCGGACACTTTTTCGTCTTCGTTTCTCGTCTTTGGAGTCGGACTCGGTAAATCCACCATGCCGACATTTGAACTATCGTAAACCGTAGAAACATGTTTGACATCGGAATTGTTTTCCTTTTCCACCGGTGTAGGACTAGCAAGCTCGGGTCCCATTGACTTTACGGCGGCTGATGGAATCGGAATACGAACCGTGAGACTCTCGATTCCAATTCCGACTTTATCGGCATTGTTTTCGATTGGTGTAGGGCTAGCGAGATCGGGTTGCATTGACTTCGGAATCTGAACGGTGGTGGATGATGAAATTGGAATACGGACGGTGAGACCCTCGATTCCGATTCCAACTTTCTCCGTCGGAATTGGCGATTCCTCTTTTAATAATACATCATTCAAGAGTAAAGACTCATCCTCGTTTTTCATCCATATCCTCATATCAACCGGAAAGTAACCAGTCGTACTCCATTTCTGTAATTGTATTTTACAAAATGGTCCTTGAATTTTTCCACTTGGGTCACGATAATGCCATAGTTTTTCCATATCACTATCAATGGAAGTTGGTGTGTTGAGTGATGATGACGTGGCATGGGTCCGGTTGGTGATGGTTGAACCGTTGGACGTGACCTTGGTTTGTGGTCTAACCGAAACTAAACCACTTGACCCATGGGTCAAACCCTCTTCGGGTTTAATTGTTAGGTGCCTTAGTGGCTTGTTTTTCAATGGGCTACTAGTGACATTATTTATAAACTCGGGTTGTTTTTTAGGAGAGTTTGTGTTCTTGTGATTAATTCTGGAATGCTTCGGTTTCATCTGTTGTACTGTAGAGAATAGAGATACACACCAACAGTTAGGAACAAAGTAAAATGTTAAATGGAAGAAATAGCAATGTACTTTTAGCAATGAAAAGATATTTGGAATGTATTGATAAGAAAAAATGAAAGTAGGTTGCTATTTCTTGCATTTAAGCTATTTGGAAAAGGACAAAACAAACCATGTTCCTCAGTGTCATCGGTTTCATAATCAGGATTCATTTTTGGATCAGAATGAACCTCAGGAATTTCCCTCAATCTGCGTTCACGTTCTTCAGGTGTCTTTAGAAGTTGGAGTTTCTCCACATATTCTCTAAGGGTGAAACTTGTCAAGGAATATTTAAAATTTAAAATTATCAGGAAATTAAATCCATGTAAGAAATAAATATGTAACAGTATCTTTTATCAAAGGATATTCCTTTTTATGCCCTTTCTCACTTGCTCGATCACGAAGATTATTGAGCCGCAATGTCTCTGCTTCCATCAACTTGATTACAAAAAGAAGGGTAAAATGGTCAAGGTGTTGTCTTATGAAAAGCCTACCCAAATTATAGCATTTTACTTTCTGTTTTTTTATAATTTGGAGGATTTTTCAAAGTACAATGATGAAATAGGAAAAAAAATGGAAGTGTGATAATATAAGAAATAAATCAAGGAAAGTAGATTGCTATTTAATGCATTTAAAGCCAAAACTACTCACGTCATTGAGCCTTGCAGATTGGAGGGACACTGCCTTGTCCTGTATGTCACCCTAAAGCAAGAACAAAATTAGCATTCAAAAAGAGCAAAGAAACCAAGTAGTAAAAACACACACACACACACAACTTTGGATCAAGATCGAGGGTAAAAATGGAAATGCAGACTTACTACAGTAAACCGCTTTACAAGCCCACATCTTACACTTTGCCGCAAACGTCTACATTCATCCTAAAAATAAAAAAATAACAAATAAAAAAAAAAAAGTCCATAAGACATAACAGGTTGTACTGCATTTGTTGTGCATTGTACTAAGACTGATGTCAATGAGACAAAAATTGCAGCTTTTTGTCCCACCTGAAAAGGTAGGAAGGACAGACTTGCTTTTGATCTCTCTATCGTGCAAAAAACATGAATGCCCTCGTCATTCTCATAAAAAAAAAAAGCAGTGTAACCTAAATATTATTCATGTGGTATGATCGCTAGTTAAAATAAAAAAATAAAAACATTGGTTACCTCAGACAGATCTTGATTTGAAATTGTATCAATTGATACAGTCTCCTTCTTGTCTAAATTTAATACTTCAAGCAAAATATCTACAGATTTATTGCCAATCTTATATGGTGCATCTGCCTTACTTGTACCTGAAAACATCAACCATAACTTTTAGGCGCTACATCTGACATAAGCCTGTGCTTGTGCTTGTTACACCAGACTCGACAAGCTTTCTAAGGTTACTTTCGATGATGAAAATGACAGGGGCATTTACGTCTTTTGCACAAACAATTAATTAAATGTCAGTCTACATCCCACCTTTTTCAGCTAGAACAAAAAAACTTGAACAATATAGTACCAATACTGTGCCCTGCCAGCACAGTGTCAGTAGTATAGTAACGGTACCAGTCAAGTACATTACTAGTGCTATTGTACCAAATACTAGTACTCTTGTAAGTACTCTTGTAAGTATTGTGGTAAGTACTATTGTACCGATACTATTTACAATAGCACTAGTGTGCTATTGTAAATACTATCTATCTATTTGGTACAATAGCACTAGTGTTGTTGTACCAAATATAAGTATTGTGGTAAGTACTATTGTACCAGTACTATTTACAATAACACTAGTGCTATTGTAAATACTATCTATCTGATACAATAACACTAGTGCTATTGTACCAAGTACAAGTATTGTGGTGAGTACTATTGTACCGATACTATTTACAATAGCATTAGTGCTATTGCAAATACTATCCATCTATTTGGTACAATAGCACTAGTGCTATTGTACCAAGTAAAAGTACAATGGTATGTACTATTGTACCGGTACTATTTACAATAATACCGGTATTATCTATCTACTATCTATCTGGTACAATATCAGGAATACTGGTACTATTGTAAATAGTATCTGTACCAGAGTATTGATGAATGCCAAACACAGTACAGCTTTATGATGGGCCTAAAAGTTGTAATAAATTGTGGTAAAATGCAATACCTACAACTTGGACAAGTCTGTACATATCATACTTCTGATCACTACCAGATATTCTTATTCTCACAATTGATCCAATCACTTTTACACGAAACTCTTCACTATTGTCAATAAGATTCTCCATCAATTTACGGCGAAGGTATATTAAGTTCATATTATGGACATCAATGGCAGCATAGTCATCCAATTTATTTTGTGGGACCCGGTCTTCACTCTTCTTGTGATTTCTCCTTTTCTTATCTTTACCCAATGTCACCATATTTTCAAGATTCCAATCAGGGTCAACTTGTTTTCCAATATTCTTGATTGTGTTCTTTGGGAGATCTTCATTTATGAAAAAATGAAACTCCAAAAGCTTTAACATTTCAAAATGACCAACACGTGGTTTCCCGAAAAGAATCTTTAGCCTTGAATCGCATAGTATTTGACTTTTCTTTCGTGGGTCCCGCAGATTATTTCTTTTTATGTACTCTAACATGAGTTCTTGAACATCAAACTGAGATAACAATGATGTATCACCGTTCTTCATATGTGCAACAAAATCTAAAAGCTCTTTAGTTGCCCATTCTTTGCTTTCGTTAGCACCCGGTTTTTTCGTAATTACAGTTTCCTTTTGGATGTGTTCATCTGTCTTTTGTCTTTTAGATTCACTTGTCTCAAGATTTTGAGGGGAAATCTCTGGTGTAATGCTTTTAAGATCATTGTCCCCATTGTGTACACATGTTGATTGGCTAACTAAAGGGGTTGTTGTATTAGCTCGTTTCCATGGATTTGTAGCTTGAGTAAGCTCATCAAGTGTCAAAGATAATTTCCCTTTTAAATAGATCCAATACACCTTGAAAAGATACTCCCAACTAGTTTTGTCATCAAAATCCACCTGAGCCTGAAAAAAAAAAATTGTAATTCTTGAATTTAACCCATTTTAGCAAGTATTATGGAGATATGATGCTGCATAGTGCATACCTTCTCATCCTTTTCTTGTCCATTGTTTTCAATCAGCATGATTGTTTTCATGCACACTGTGCAAAAGCCTTTATCACCTCTGACACATACATAATCAGCTTTTTTAATGCACCCTTTGCACAATGAATATGTACAAGTATAGCACATATGATGGGCTGCCTTCTGGCATATACTACATATATGCCAACCTGAAATTCATTTCAACATCATTGCAACTTACTCAACTTCTGTTCACAATTATATAGTTGAATAGACAATATACAGACCATAGTGAGTGATTTTATTCAGTAGAACCCCATATGCTAAGTTCTAACACATCTGTTTTGAAAGAAAAACCTTTGTTTCACATGACTAAGCAATCAGATAATCAGAATTCTATGGGGTTATAGCAAGAAGCATAAAAATATATATTTTATTTATAGGCACAACATCCACAATTACAAATCAAGAAATGAATTCAGAAGGGGAGATAAAAGGTATATCAGGAAAAGAAACATACCACAATTCCATCTAGCTTTGGATTGAAAAAATGCCTCATCACGCTTGACACAAGCCGGATGGTATGCCTTCGGGCATCCTCTACAACAAAAAACAAAAAGAAGAAATCATGTTATTCACCAATTCACCGATGTGCAGAAATATAGCTGTTACTATATTCGACATCTAGCATTAAGAACTTAATGGAAGTAACATTCGCATGAAGTTCGATTGAAAACCAAGCAAACACACATCGATTGTCAAAATCCAACAATTAAGAAGAAGAAAAAATTAACACAAACCGGCGATCGCAGAGCACGAGACTCCCACCATCGAAGCAGATAAAGCAAACATCTTCGTCCACTTCTTTATTCATCTTAGTAGGCGGCGATTTCGCCTGAGCCCTAGGTGGTCGACCTCGCTTCTTCTTCACCAATTCAGCTCCCCCGCTTCCATTACCTAACTCAACCTCCACTCCCCCACCTTCATCGGCACATTCGACAGCACCAACAACATCTACCGGACCTCCAGCCATCTTCGACCCATCATCGCCTTCCGTATCCTGAATCGGTTGACTCTGGTCAGAGCTATGACTCTCAGCTTCCATATTTCGAACTTCCATCGAGTTAACGAATCAACCGAATTAAGCTCAAAACTTATAAGTCAGTTCATGATGACCAATTATGGAAACAAATTAACAAACCCTAGGTTTCCCAATTTGAGTAGCTGTTGTATCGTACAGACCTACAGGGTATCATTTCACAGAGACAGAAATGCAGGTGAGAAGTGCGTGTTGTTTGACCAGTACGTCGTCGTTTCTATAGGTAGAGAAAGGGGATGATCCGGGTAGTGTTGGGTGGAGTTTTAGCTTTAGCTTTCGGCAACACGACAGTGCTGCACGAAAGAGAGGGCGTTGAACGCGGCTCTTGTGGTTTTGTGGATTCTCTCTGATACTTGGCGACACGTGATTTAGTTTTTTTTTATGTTTCTTTTAGCAACAAATATACCCCATTTCACACAGAAATATATCTTTTGAAAAAGGGTCTATACTTGATACATAAAATACCTAAAATATATCTTTTGAAAAAGGGTTGATACTATAAAATACCTTCTTTATGAGTTTTTTTCTTCTTTGCTAAACTTCATTTTATTTCTAGGAAAATTGAGTTATGAGGGTAATTACAATTTTGTTTTGTTTGCGTTTTGTTAATTTTTTATACACATTTAAGTAACGAAATTGTTAGAAGTGTTTACATATGATCATTATGACCGGCTGTAACTTATTATAACTGATCATAATGGTTATATGTAAACGTTTCTAACAAGTTTGCTACCTAGAGGCGGATTCAGCAAATAGTTAGGGATAGCACGGGCTACCTCTCGACTTTTATGTAGTAGTGTAAAATTCCGATTATTTTATGTACATGTGCAGTGTTTGAAGAAACAAATGTGCAACCCCAGATTTAGGGTTCAATTGATTCGTCCTGCCATGTTCTTCCGCAATTCATCATCTCCAATTTCCGGTTTCCTTTTTCTCTAGAATTCATATAAAGAGCTCATTTAACCATTTGATTGACAAATGGTGGGGTTTATAGCTTCTTACGGCTTTAATGTTGAGGTTTACATCAGTTTAAATTTCTAAGGCAACGCATTCCAAAATCCTCAATTTGTGGTTGTTCTTTTGGATCGAGTCATGCTACATGTATTTGTGTTTTCCATAAACCACGTATGCTACTAAATCATGTTTAATTATGTTTAATTTTATGGAATACGTTTACATGAGTCAACTTATATATTCTAATTCCAGTTCTATTTCGATAAGCTTTGTGCATTTTCTACATTTTTTTTATCTCTAAAGTCTTTTAAGTTATTTGGGTCATGTTTAACTCACTCATGCTACAAAATTAGATTATTGAGAGATGTCGTCACACTAAATTAGACATGTTCAATGTTTTGAATCCATTTTGGTAAATCGATATGAATGTATTAGTTATGGTTCTTTAGCTAAATTTGGTGATTACGTTTGTGGCCCTAAACATAATGTCATCTGCAAACCTACAATATTTGGTTAGTATATTGACATGTTGGGTGTCGTACGATCAAGAAAATCTATAAGGAATTTGACAAAACAGAAGGAAGAGATGTGGCCCTAAACCACGTAGACCTAAGAAACTTAGGTGAAGACTCATCCGACCTCAAGAGGCTCTTCTAAGAAATAAAACCACAACACTTGAGATTGAAAACATTGTTTTTCTTTACAACATTTGAATGGATACTAATAACAACACCTTGAGCTTTTATCACAATATGCATGCACGTTAGGTAATTTTAGGAAGAAACATAGGTTGGTATCACTTTAAGCCTTAAAGAACTAGTCAAGAAAGATTCTAAGGTCTTCAAGTACACAATCATAGGCAATGGGTCATTCATGCATCAACATATTCATTAATGGAAACATCCTACAGGTAAATATTACACCTACTTCATTCTGCGTATAAGGATTAATTTTTAAACTTAGCTGTTTTCTCTCTCTCTCTCTCTCTCTCTCTCTCTCTATATATATATATATATATATATATATATATATATATATATATATATTACTGTCTCTCAATGACTTCTGCCAACCTTTTTGCATCAAAGCTCCAAAATCAACCTTGCCTTATAAACCTTATGATGTAAATACCATTTTACCCTTTAGGTCTTTTGCGGAAAACCACTGTGCTACCCCTAAACTTTTTTTCTTTTTTCGCTACTGTTGTTACCTACATATGTACAAAAAAATACCCAAATATAAATGAAACGGAAAAGCAATTAACATGATAAGTCAATTTCCTTTTTTTTATTTTAGCTTCTAATTTTGATGTGATATAAAATTTAACCTAAGTTATAAATATTTTTAAAGTCACACCAAATTGGTAAATATCTTTTTAAAATACTCTACTTTAGTATTTTTAAAAAAAAATTTAAAAACACTTCAAGTTTCATAGAGAAAAAAACATATCGTCATTTTATAGAATTTTATTATGTAAGATAGTAAATATAAAAATTAAAATTTACTACATACACATGCAAAAACTAAGAATACATGCTGGCAAAAATACACGTTGGCATACCAATTCGACAATAAATATGACAATTATCATCCACGTCTCAAGTGTTTCAACTAACATGCGTGTCGATTTAAAAGTTGGTGTTACGTGGATGTTGATTGTCATATTTATTATCGAGTTAATATGTCAGCATGTATTCTTAATTTTTGCACGTGTACATAGTAAATTTTAATTTTTATGTTTAATATTTTAAACTATAACATTCTATAAAATGACGATATGTTTTTCCCTATCAAATTTGGAGTTTTTTTACCAAAGTAGTGTATTTCAAAAAAGATATTTACCAAAATGGTGTCGTTTAAAAATATTTACCATTTAGGTTAAATTTTATACCAAATCAAAATTAGAAAGTAAAATAAAAAAAACAAGGGAAATTGACTTATCAGGATAATTACATATTCGTTTTGTTCACATTTTTTGTACACATCTAGGTTACAAACTTGTTGGAAGTATTCACATATGACCAGTTGTAACTCGCTACAGTCGATCATAATGTATATATATGAATAATGTCAACAAGTTCGTTACCTAAATGTTTAGAAAGAAGTTACTTAAATATGAACAAAACGAAAAGATAATTACCCTGATAAGTCAATTTCCTTTATTTTTATCAAGGTTCTAAATAACGTAAGGCGTGACTTGGCGGCAATGTCAAGCCTCAAGCTTTTCCGAGCCTTGACGTGTCACGACGTTCGTAAGGCGTCACTTAAG